TTGATTTTGCAAGCTGTGATATCGCAGCTCGGAATATCAAGCTAACAAAACTCACCAACTGCAAATTTCACCAAATTGTGGTGAGATTGAGTTTAATGATTTTTGCTTTACACCAGAATGCAGCCGAAACTTCCATAACGGCTTGCAGCAGTCCCTTCGCGTCTGCCATCGGTGAAGATTAAAAAGAGATAGAAAACTATGCTTTCTCTTTCTAAGAAAACGATGTGCAATAGAATAATTTTTGTGTCGAGTCAACTCTCAGCTTGATGTTTGCAAGTTGTGAATAGTCTCGCAACATCAAAGGAGCTTGTAAAATCAATATCAAGCATGATATTTTGTTCCAATATCACGCGTGATATTGCGAGTGCATGAGAGCGGAAAAATATCAATTGATTTCTGATTTTGCCAACACTGGTTTTAAGTATGTATCATAAGCATAAATAAGAATAATTAATAATAATTACCAGAAATCACAAATGATACAAATTGGTTTCGATAGACTTTAATCATATGTTTGTATGTAGGATTTTCAATCTTTTCAATAAGAAACATCAAATTTAATGCACTAAAGTTACATCTCGTATGAGATCATTTTTTATAGAAACTTACATATTAATTTTAGCAAAATTTATGCTTTTCTTTGTGAGATTTTTCTCTTCACATGATTACAATCTATCTCACATCACATTAAATCTTAATTAAGACCTAATGCCAAATCCAACGGCATCGTTAAAATAAGTTGATAAATAGCATTTTGAAATCATAACCATCATTCGCTCTCACATTGACTCTACATAAACAAAACATCAATCATGGTTACACTGTATTTTAGTTCTTGCATACTTTTTAATTATTTTTATTATGATATTGATCAATGCTTATGCTATCTTTTGGTATTATTTTTATAATTATTATTTTATGCAGTATAACTAAATAATTTCTCCTCAATATTATCTACTTTTCAACACTATATCGACCAAGTTGAATTTGAAATCGGTTGACTATTTTTTTTTTTGTTTTAACAGAACATTGCAGTTTAATTAACACCCTTATTTTAGGACAGTGATCGAGGTCTCAACCCATCAAGTCTATTTATCTACTTGGTTTTGTTGGTTTGAAAGTTACATTATTGTAGAAGTATGCAAATCTTAGCAAATTTGTTTCAGTATAATTTGTATTTTTTCAGATTGCTGTCGATCGCGATGGAACCTTGAAGACCCATCAGCGGGAGTTCTGCGATGCACATGTCATCTATCATTTTGAATCTGTTAACTTCATTGCTTCCATTTGAATAATGATTTATTATTGAAATTTGTAATTGATTATGATTTAAGTTGAAAAGACATAGTGTGCCTACGGAAGAGGAGGTAGTTGAATTATTTTCACTCCCGCGGGTTTTCCCCTGTACCAATAAAAAAATGATAACACAAAACAATATTCCTTCCTATTAATCAGCTACGGATGTGACAACGATGGTGAGTTCACCATGTTATATCTTCATTCTATTTCAGCAGACGCTTTGGACAGCAATTTATTATTTATGAGGGTTCGTAGTGCAGCATTTATGAGGGGTCGTAGAGTTCTCTGCATCTCTGTTCAGTAAATGTTGGACTAACATACCTTTCCTATCCCTACCAGTTGTAAGGACGTGGCCAGGACAATCCTTAACTGTTGGAGCGGGATATGTCTTTATCTGGGAGATAGTAATTATTGTCTACTTAGTATCTGTCCAGTAATAGATATCCGTCTTGCTCTTAATATTTTTGAATTTGTACCACCTATGATATTGTGCAACTTGTTCGATGCTAATGCTAATCTCTGATCACCTGGAGGTCTTTTGGATAATTTCTGAGCAAATTGGTATCTTGAAAAATACCTGGGAGATATGATTTGAATTATTGTGTAGTTAAAGTTCTTCATGTGAATTATTTGACAGTTGATCATCTTCAGAATGATGCCTGATCATGCTGAAGTCAGATCTTTTTGGAGATCTATGGCTCTGTAATAATTTCTGAGCAATCTAGTATTTGAGAGAATATCTGGAAGATGTGACTTGAATTGTTGGGCAGTTGACGACCTTCAGAATGATTTCTGATCAAATTGATACATCTTGATTACTTTTTTGAATAAATTTTGAACAACCAAGTATGTTGAGAAAATATATGAGAGTTGTGATTGTTGGGCTGTTGAAGATATTCAGAATGAGATCTAATCAAGCTGAAATTATGAACAAATATCCTTAGAAGTTTTTGGAGATGTATGATAACCTGGCTTTGGAATAATTTCCGAGCAACCTGGTGTGTTGGAATTGTTGAGCAGTTGAAGACCTTCAGAATAATACCTGCTCAAGTTGAAGTCTAAAACAAACATCTTGGGGATTTTTTTTTTGAAGATCTATGATAATCTGAAGGTATTTTGAATAATTTCTGAGCAACTTGCTATTTATTTAAGTGAATATCTAAGAGATGTGATATGAAATGTGGGTGGCTTCAAAGCATCCGATGAACGCCTAGAGGGTTCATAGATCCACTAAAAATTGTGGGTGGCTTCAGTCATTGTTGAAGAAAGTGAAAAAGGTCACCTAGAATCAGGTCCAAAGTTGTTTTCCAGTTATTCCTATATGTGATCATCATCAGGAAAAAGGGACAAAATAATGTAAAAACGTTCAATTAGGACACATAAACCCAGTGCTTTTAATTTTTATCATCTATCACTGTTCTTGATAAGCGGCTCGATTATCCGGAGTGAATATTTTTTTCAAGTATCCGGATAATCGAGGCCACTTGTACAAGATTAGCAGTCGTAAGTAGGAAATATTAGCCACAGAAATTTGAATTTCAGTAGGTTACGTTGTGATATCAATGTCATTTGCGTTCTTACATTGATATTAAGATTATGTGAAGTGATATTCATATATCAGGTGACCATCATTTTTTCCTACATCTCATTTGTATCAAGTTCAATACCTTATTACGTAAATCAAGTTCAATACCTTATTACGTAAAATTACCTATGTAAATCGTTGACTTCACGCAGAAGTAATACTATAAAACATATAGTCAAAGTACATAACTCTGGATGGGAGCATACCACCAAACTGTCATTGGTCGAAAGGTACAGTAGCAACACCTACACTACCCGTGTCCCTCGAGATCTTCAAGTCGACGATGACAGGAGCACATACCGTGGTAGAGGTAACAATAGCTGCAATTTCCAAACCTACGACTGGATGCCTTCCTTCAGATAGCAACTGAAGTGCGGTAAAAATCGGTAGAACTGTTTCGAACACATCGTCAGATCATCTCTTTTTGCCAGTGTTTGGGGGGGACACCCCTCACCATCCCTCTCCAAAGAGGGAGTTTGGTGAAGAGAGATGAAAAAACCGATTTGTACCTTCCTTAAAAGTTGTCCTAGCTCGCTATTCTAATATCTATATGCAATCTTCACACTGCCGTACTCTAACAGAACTATCAACTCTATACTTTCATCTACTCCATCTATCGTATAAAAATTACCACTACAGTCTGTTATTTGAAATTAGCATCTTCAACTATGTAAATCGTTGACTTCACGTAGAAGTAATACTAAAACATATAGTCAAAGTACCAAAATAATCCTGATGAATGTGGGCGTCTTAGTGGAATACCTGTATAATGAGAGAAAGAAGGATTAGTATTTTCCATTTAATTCCACTACTTTATTTGCTTATCCTTGACAGATACGCGTATTTCGTCTACAATGTGCAGACTTCTTCAGTGTCTTGTACTAATACTCGACTTAGTCAGTCGAGTATTAGTACAAGACACTGAAGAAGTCTGCACATTGTAGACGAAATACGCGTATCTGTCAAGGATAAGCAAATAAAGTAGTGGAATTAAATGGAAAATACTAATCCTTCTCTCTCTCATTATACCAAAATAATGTTTTGTTTTTAATTTGAGATTATATAAATTTTCCAATGTTCCACATTTTGAGTATTTTTCTCAATGCCATATTAAAAAAAATCAAATTCTTTTTGTTTGATAAATCTAAGACCTTACTATTTTTATAAATATTTAGGAAATTAAAAAAAAATCAACAAATTTCAAAGCTTCAGAATTTTTTAAAACATCCGTTAGTTCAGACTAAGGAATGTTCAAACATTTTCTTACTGCGAGATCTTCAACAAATTTCTCTAGATCTCATTTGGATCTAGTTAAAAATTGTATAACCAATGCCTTAATTCGATCTCTCACTCTTTACAATTCGGTTTAATGACCCATTCAGCTTAATACCGTTCGGCCTAGTGACCTTACACATATTGGTTATCTAAAAGTAAGTGATACTATCGAGATAGGAACTAATGAAAATCAATTTGCATCACTTTACACTTGACTGAGACCTCTTATGTTTGTAAAGCCCGAGAACTTACTGAGCAACTGAGTTATGGGATTATTTATGGTCACTAGGCCCAACGCTTTTCAGTTGAATGGCTCATTAGACTAAATTGTAAAGAGTGAGAGATTGCATTTAGAAATGGTTTAAGAAATCATAAACTTGATACTTGATATAATTCTTATAATCACTTCACATTTGAAGATCACTTCCAGTTGACTTGTAAAGAATAAAGATCAATATTATTTTATAATATTCGAGCCATTTTGAATTTACTTTCATCTTTATAATTTTTCCTATTGGCTATTGAAGATAATTTTTCCACAAATATCATGGCAAATTTGTGATTGGTCATTGAAAAAAAAATCTTGAAATACTATAAATATTATAACCCTAGAATTTTTTGAGATTTGAACCGGATAATCCGGGAAAAAATCGGGAATTTCAAAATAAAAATTTGCTGGGCACCCTGCTATTACACTTTCAGCCTAATGACCCATTCGGGTTAGTGACCCATTCGGTCTAATGACCCATCACCAATTTGATTAATAGCCCACTTTGATTTGTTTGTTATTATTTTTATTCTGAATTGCTTACTAATCTTATATTGTGTTCTTCTTTTTCAGGTAACTGTGTCAAACAAATTCATTTCAAGGTATGTAACCCAGACTGCGCAAATTTAATCAGATTTCATGATTATACAAATTGAATTGAAAATTGAGTTACTTGTGATGAAATCTAGTATATCACCCAATTTGAGAATGTAAGGTGATGCTTGTAATATCTGTATTACAGTCAACTCCCTCTATCTCGATATTGAAGGGACCATCGAGATATAGAGGGATCAAGATATAGAACAAGAATAGCCTACTAGACCGTTTGAAGTGACCGAGATAACCAAAATGCTTATTTTGGCATTCTGAACAAATGTATTTTTTTTAAATTTTGCTCTGAAGTGCCTAGATCCCTCTCGGCTACAACCCTGGATATTCGAGATTTTAAAAATTTCATCTTTCAGAAGAGATTATTCCACAACCAAATAAGCTACGTCAATTTGAAGGTTTTTTTTTTAATGTAGATTCTTATAGGTGTACCCATATTTTGTTTTTGTTATAGTAAGTACAATAAACAGGCTGATTACCAGCAGGTATTAAAATAGTCGAAAAATTGTCGATTTCCACCATGGGCGGGATTTTTTGTTTCTTAATATTTTGGATTCAAATTTTCACCGCACTTGAAAAAATCTTCTACTTGATGTGTTTCCAAGGACAAATAGTTTTTGAGATATGACCAGATGAGTCACAGGCAGTTTTGAACTTTTATGTTTAAAAATCAATGCTTTTTAAATATATTTTTTTTAATTCCTCCGCACCGATGGCACAATAGTATTTTTATGTTATTTTTCACATGTCCTGGACAGGATTCTCATTATATGAAATCATAAATAGCTCATTTATTTACTTCTGTCCATAATTTAATTGTGGTCCTAAAAGTGAAACATACGTTCCTCTGGGATATAGCCAAAACGTTGTGCTTTAGAAGTACGATGAAATCAGATAGATTAGCAGGTATATAAAATTTCAGTTGTGGAATACCCTTATTCGAGTAATATTTTTTTAGGTGTAATCTCACTAGCAAGAATACGGCAAGAAGGGATTCAAGGAAAAATTAAAAAATATTAAATAGCATTGATTTTGCACCAGAAAAGCTCAAAACTACCACTCACTCATCTGGTCATATCTCAAAAACTATTTATCCAAATCATTTGCCCTTAGAAACACATCTAGTAGAAGAGTTTTCAAAAGTGTGGTGACAATTTGAGCCCAAAATATTAAGAAATTAAAAATTCCGACCATGGTGAAAATATGCTATTTTTTACACTTTGGATACCTACTGGTAGTTAGTCTGTTTACTGTAGTTCATATAACAAAAACAAAATGTGGGTACACCTATGAGAATCTACATTAACAAAAAACCTTCAAATTGACGTTATAAGATCACGAATAGCTTGTTTGGTTGTAAAGTAATCTCTTCTGAAAGTTGAAATTTTGAAAATCTCGAAAATCCAGGGTTGTAGCTCAGAAGGAACTAGGCATTTTAGACCTAACCAAAAAAGGCGTTTGTTCAGAATTCCAAAATAAGCGTTTTGGCCAAGTTTGGCTGAAATCGGTGACATTGACCAAAACTTATTTAAATTCTGTGCCCACTTGAGCTGGAATAATCCACATACATAGGGGAAAAGTTTGCTTCGGCAATACCTTAACCTATTATCGTCAGGGGGGTAAACAACGTCCTTGAGAGCTCAATTTTGGCATGTGGATACATTGTGTTTCAGAGCAACTATTTGCCAAATTTGAGTGCTCTAGGAAATTGTTTACCCCCTGACGGTAATAGGTTAAGGTATTGCCGAAGCCAACATTTCCCCTATATAATTACTGTTAGCCTATTCAGTAGATTAATAGTTAACATCATCTTGTGAAAGTTTCGTATGAAAATATTGATTTTGAAAAAAAAAAAAAATCGCGAAGTAAACGCTAGAATACCTGGCAGAGCTATGCCACAAACAAATCAACAACATCCACAAGGACATGTTTTAGATCAGTATTAACCATGAATATTAGCGCCTCAAACTTCATTAAAGTTAGAGTGCATATGGTGTACTTTGCTTGTAGACTCAGGTGCAGATATTTCAATTTTCAAATCAAATAAAGTACTTGAAATTCAACAAATTAATAATAATTTCAAAACTAAACTGACAGGGATTACTGAAGGAGAAATTGAAACACTGGCAATAACTAAAACAGTGTTAGATTTCGGAGATGGTTTACATGTGAAACATATCTCTCATTTAGTTAAACCAGATTTTCCAATACTAACAGATGGCATTTTAGGGAGAGATTTTCTATCGTCTCTCAAGTGTAACATCGATTATGAATTTTGGTTATTAAATTTTACCATTGACAACAGATCTGTATCTATTCCAATTCAAGATACAGTGAATGAAAATTACATCATACCGCAAAGATGCGAAGTGATTCGAAAAATTAAAAATTTAAACATCACGGAAGATATGGTTTTATTTTCGCAAGAAATTAAACCTGGTGGCAATGCAATAATTTCACCAAATAATCGGTAAATTCATGAATACATCGTTGCAACCAATTAACGTATCAAATGTTGACCTAAAACTCAAAATGGAACCATTGAACAATTTTAAAATTTTAAACATTAAAACTACCAGCAAATCAAAAGCAACACAAACAAGAAACATTAAAATTCTGAATGAGATGAACATGATAAAGGTTCCTGAATATGCAAAAGATGACTTAAAAAAATGTATTACTAAATTTTCAGACATTTTCTCACTACCCGATGAACCAATTACAGTAAATAATTTTTATGAGCAAAGCATTAATTTAAATGACAACATTCCTACTTATATACCAAATTACTAAACCATTCACTCTCAATATGATAAAATAGAAACTCAAATTAATAAAATGCTGAAGGATAACATCATAGAGCCTTCAGTATCTTCATACAATAGCCCAATATTGTTATAACCGAAAAAATCAACAGATGATAAGAAAAAGTTAAAATTAACTGACAAATTCCCTTTACCGAGGATATTTAGATTCTATATTGGATCAACTTGGTAGAGTGAAATATTTTTCAACTTTAAATTTGATGTCCGGGTTTCATCAAATTCCTTTGGATGAAGCCTTGAGAAAATTTACAGCTTTTTCGACCCAATCAGGTCACTATCAATTTACCAGATTACCGTTTGGACTAAACATTAGTCCAAACAGTTTCCAAAGAATGATGACAATTGCAATGTCTGGATTGACTCCAGAACATGCTTTGTTTATATTGACGATATTATTGTGATAGGATGCTCAATCCATTTACAGAATTTATCAACAGTTTTTGAAAGAATTCGAAAACACAATTTAAAATTAAATTTAGCAAAATGTACATTTTTTAATTCAGAGGTTACTTATTTAGAACACAGAATAACCGATAAAGCTATTCTTCCAGATAGTAATAAATTCAATACAATAAAGAACTACCCAGTTCCAATAAACAGTGACGAAGTTAGAAGGTTTGTAGCTTTTTGTAACTACTATCGGAAATTCGTTCCTAATTACATGTCTCGTAAACATCGTGAATGACTTTCCAAGTTAAACAAATAAACAAATTAACATGTCTCGTAAAAAATACATTCAGATTGTTTAGGAAACCTACAGTGATGGCCTTTAAATTAGCACAATAGGCCGATTTTCATATAAACCAACTTTAGGATGTTGCAGCTATGTTGTGTTATGATCAATTGAGCTGAAATTTTGACACAGAACTACAAATATGCTGAATTTTGCGTGTATGTAATATCAAATTATTGGAAACGCTTGCAGGAAATTGACTGACTGGTTGAAAATGGCCAACTAATCAGCACATTTATAATTTGAAATTTCCGAAGTGTTATAGTTTTAAAATATTCACCCCTAATGTTTGCCAATAAACGACGGCGCACACTGGGGCAGATCAGTGATTTTCTCGGAAAAAATTAATAACTTTTGAACAAAGAATCCAATCAGTATACTGTCTTCGGTAAAGTTGTTTGTATTAGTTAAGCGCTTCTTCTGAATAAATTAATTAGTTCGCAACTTGGTCGTAGAGATGGCGCGCGAATCTAACTTTTGAATAAAGCATCCTAGACGTATGGTGTTTTCAACAAAGTTTTTTATCTATTAAAATGAAGGAAAGTTGCAGAAGACATAAAACTTCCATAACCTTTAGTTTCGGAGATATAGGGTGTATTGAAAAATATGATGCCAAAATTCTTATTTGTAACTTTTTTGTATATTTTCATATGTTTGCTCTGGTTTCTGCCTTTATTCCAACGAAAACAAACTAGGTGCGAATTTTCATTGCACTATTTGTGGAATTTATAGTGGTTTTAGTGAAATATTCTCGAAAAACATGATATTTTGCCTCTATTTTAGGTGGGTGGGATTCTCGAAAGGGCAGCTAAGGGCAGCTGGACTTTGTCTTTTTTGCTAGCTCATGTCATTGTCTAACATATACCAGAAAACTGAAGACATGATATTCGATGATTTTTTTTAATTTCACTTTATATATACCGATAAAAACATCCATTGAAATGAACTGTTTCACATAATAAAAAACATTATATAAATTTTTGACATGTCACCATTTTTAAATGCTGTGCTGAATTTTGAGATTGTTTACTTAATATGAGCTGCCAGCGAACCAGGGGCCTGGCTGGCGGCCATGTTTTTGATGCTATCATCTGTTTTTGACTCTCTGTTTACTACACGATTATCCGTCCCTTTCCACCATGTATACGTCAGCTCAATCAGCTGCATTACCCAGGTAAAGTTGTATATGTGACATCATCGTACAAGCTGTCCCTAATAAACAAATACCATAAACGAACAATAGCCCAAATAGTTGAACTTTTCCACAAATGGTTTGGATGATACCCCAAACACGTCGTTAAGCAAAATAACCATAACAAATTTATTAGAGGTGTGCTGCCGTGCCAACGTGATCGTGTACAACGTACAATTATCGATCACTTTTTCGAAGAGACGTATCAGCTTTTGTAAACAATGCATTTGATCGTCGGTTTGG